AAAAAGTGAGAAAAGCAAATATCAGAAATGAAGCAGGGAATATCACTGTAGATCCTCCAACCATTAGAAGTCTAACAATGGAATATCTGTAATTTGACATTTTAAAAAAGACAATTTCTTGAAAATCAGAAACTCCTCAAACCCAACAAGGAAATTGAATTCATAATTTTAAAACATTCATCAAATAAATCTCCAGACATAGATCGCTTTTACTGGAGAATTCCGCCGAACACAAATTTATATAATTTCTTTCTGGACAAAAGAATGCGGAATACATTACAATTTATGAGATCAACATTACCATGCTATCATAGGTGAGTCAAGGCAGCACAAAAATCAACAAGAAAGCTTAAATTATTATCTCTAATGAACTTATAGCCTTACTCCTTGACAAAATATTTCAAGTATAATCCAATTATGCATTTTTAAAAGTTAACAGGTCATGTCCAAGTAAGTTTCCTTTATTCCTGTCTTTAAAAATCAATGAACATCATCAATCGATGGCAACATATGTACAAATGTGCTTGATACAATGATGTTCCAATTGTTATAAGAGCTGAAAGAGCACCTAATAAGATGATTTATTAAAATTTTTAAAAAGGAAATACCCACCAAGCTAAAGAAGAAACATCATATGAGTATATTAATTCCTACAGAAAAAAGCACGTGACAGAATTCAACTTCTTTTCATGATTAAAGCCCTCAGCAATTTAGGAATTTGAGTATGAACATGTACTCCCCTAAAACAAAAACCATGCAGATAACATGATAATTTATAGGTAAAAGCAAATTCTTTACCTGAATATGGCATAATACTGAAAGTTCTAGTCATTGCAATAAGGTAAGACACAGAAAAGCCATAAATTGTCAAGGAATAAGTGACATTGTTCCTGTTTGCTAACAAAATGATTGCATTTAGGGAATCCCACAGAATCTACTCAAAAAACGCCTACACTGACCAATCTCCGCAGATTGCAGGATACAAAGGAAACAGTGAAGTCTGTATAACAAGAGACACACGGAATACAATATTAAAAGCACAAATTACCACTTATAATCACTCCAAAGAAAATAAGACTCTTAGAGAGAATCCTAACAAAATAAGCACAGGATGTGTACACTGGTGGAAGAAATTAAGGAAGCCCTAAATCAATGGAGAGGTGTACTCTCCTTGTGTTGAAAAGTTCTCCGTGGTAAAGATGTCAGGTGATCTGCAGGTGTAATTCAATTCCTAAAAAAATTTCAAAGAAGCCCTGGTGGCATAGTGGATTATGCATTGGGCTGAACCTCACGATCAGTAACTCAAACCCTTTAGCTGCTCCTCGGGAGAAAGATGAGACGCCTTCCCTAAAGATTTATCAACAGCCTCAGAAGCCCGAAAGAGCAATTCTGTACTGTCCTGTAGGGTCACTGCTGTGTCAATCAACTTGACAGCTGTGGGTTAAATAGTCACAGTACTCATGGTGTTTTGACCCTGGTAGCAGGAGAGACACATTGATCAGGAAAATAAAATAGAGAACACAGAAACGGACCAACACACATAAGTCTACCTGAAGTTGATTAAGGTAGAAAAGCAATTCAGTGGAGGTAGGATAGCAACTTTCAACAAATGTTGCTAGAGAAAATGGCATCCACATGCATAAAACCAACACTTGATTTAAACCCACCATCTTAGACAAATGGACTTAAATGTAAATCATGAATGTATAAAACTTTCAGCAAAGAATAAATCTAAGTTTATTCATCTGAAAATTTCAAGAGAACACCTTAATATATGTGGGGGTTCCTGCAAAAAAAAAAAGTATGTTTTTTCTCCCAAAGCTATGTATTAAAATTTTTTTACAAAACAAGCACATCAACTTCAAAGCACTCTCCATCACACTAAATACATTTCTCAAATCTGTGATTCTATTCTTGGAAACATTTTTCTAACTCATCTGTTTGGATGGCTGACAGCACCTCTCTCCTTTTTTTTTCTTCGCCCCTTCTGCGTCAAATGGCTGTCCCTTCATGTCCCTCTTCATTTGTGGAAACAAAAAGAAGTTGCACAGAGCGAGATCAGGTGATTCAGGTGTGTGGGGCAAGAGAGGCATGCTGTTTTTGGTCCCAAACTGGAGCACCGAAATGGCTGCGTGAGCAGGTGCGTTGTTGTGGTGGCAAAATCAGTCCCCCCTCTTCTACAAATTGCCTTTTTTGTTGCACCCTGTTACACAGTCTTATCAGAGCCTCTAAATAGAAAGCTTGATTAACAGTCTGACTTGGTGGAACAAACTTCAAATGCACGATGAGTCAACATTTTTGTCCGGGAAATTGATGGATATCTATAACGAGGTTTGTCAATAGTAGACATTTCACTCTTTTGAAACGAGGAAAACACTGGTACTCTTGAGTTTTTCCCATCGTGCGTCCTTGTAAACCGTGTTCAGCATCACAACAATTCAGTGGCACATTTTCCTGAGTAGGAAACAAAATTTCAGAGCTGCACGCTGTTCTCTTAAGTCGGCCATCACAGAAACAAAGGTTTGGGCAAAACTGCTTTTATGAAGAAATTCACTGTGACCAGAGAGAACTTTTCCAGACAACACCACTGGCTGCATTAACTCAGCAAGTTGCTAGATGCCTGCGTAGCGGGAAAAATGCATACTGTGAAAGTTCCACCCAATGGAGCTTTTTCTTTTTTGCGGGGGGCACCCCCTCATATGCCTGTAATAGATGGTAACTAGAACAAGGGTCATAGGAGTTTTGATTAAAATCCCATCCAAATCCCTATTATCTTTGAGGTATGCATTTTATAGAATAATTAATCTAGTGAAAGTTTGGTTTACTTTAGTGTTTTCAAGTATTCTCTTCAGGCATTTATGTGAGAAGATTCTGCCCATTTAAGTCTATCTACAACTGAAAACTCGTTGTCTAATTGATTCCAACTTGACCTCATGTTTCTGAGCAGAACTCTTCCATAGGGTCTTCTGGGCTGTAATATTATGAAAAGGAATCACTTTGGCCTTTGTTCCACAGTACTATCAAGTGGGTTCGAACCATCAACCTCTGTATGCAACTTGTGAGATGCTCTTGCGTAAATCCCAACTCATAGAAACCCTATGAAAAACAGAGCAAAGTGCTACTCAGTCCTGCATCAGCCTCACAGTTGTTCTTAGTTGTCGGCCATAGTTGCCACCACTGCGAATTCATCTCATCAGGCGCCTTCTTCTTTTCACTGCCCTTCTTAACCAACCAGGATGTTTTTCTCCAAGGACCGGCCTCTCCTGATAACATGTCTAAAGCACATTAGATGAAGACCCATCATTCTTGCTTGTAAGGCAGTGGTTCTCAACCTTCCTAATGCCGCGTCCCTTTAATACACTTCCTCATGTTGTGGTGACCCCCCCGCCCCAACCATAAAATTATTTTCGTTGCTACTTCATAACTCTCATTGTGCTACTGTTAAAAATCAGGTGACCCCTGTGAAAGGGTAGTTCAACCCCCAAAGAGGTCGCGGCCCACAGGTTGAGAACCGCTGTTCTAAGGACGATTTTGGTTGTACCTCCTAGACAGATTTGTTGGTTCTTTTGGTCCAGGTACATTCAATATTCATTACCAGCACCGCAATTCAGAAGCATCCATTCTTCTTGGGTTTCCCGTATTCAGTGTTCAACTCTCACATGCATATGAGGTAAAAATGCAATGGCTCGGGTCAGGCTCACCTGGGTACTCAAAGTAACTTCTTGCTTTTGAACACTTTAAAGAGGACTTTGGCAGCAGATTTACTTGATGTAGCAATGGGTCATTTGCTCTTGACTGCTGCTTCCATGAGCACTGATTGTAGATCCAGTAATTAATTCACCAAAAAAGTGGATAAAACTAAACCCAACTCACTGTCATTAAATTGATGCTGACTCATAGTGACCTTATAGGACAGTGTAGGACAGTGTCCCTGTGGGTTTCAGAGACTGTAACTCTTTATGGAAATAGAAAACTTTGTATTTCTCCAGAGGAATATCTGGGTCATATGATATTCCTATTTCCAGCTTTTTAAGGAAGTGCCAGACCAATTCCTCCCCTGCTTCAGGTAACTAGAGGTCACTATAGTAAGTTGCAGAGATTCTGATAAAAGGATGGATGGATACATGTCCTGCCCAAAGGTACTTTCACTCAATTTGGAAACTATGTTGCCCAAATAAAACTGTTCTGTTGAAGGCATTCAATTATTTGCTGTTATCTGACTCTTGTTACTTCACATAATGAATGCTTGCAATGTTTCTTCTCTGATACTGAGTTTATTTCCTGAAATGATTAAGAGAGGTAGAATTTCCCTAAGATGTATTAATGATTTACTAGGAGCCAGGAATAGTGCATTTTTGTTGGTTTCAGACGACAGGCCAGAAGGACACGGGCAGAGATGCTAGAGATGAATGAGGACACAGCAGCCGGGGCTGAATTTGTTTGTGATGTTTCTCTTACAATTCTGTCGCATCGTCCGCTCTCAGTTGTTCCTGTAGCATTGATATTCCTCAGATGAAGCCGATGCTGCCCGGTAGAGCAGCATGGCCCAGGCAGGAGACTAAGTTCTACTCAGGAGTGGCGGGTCAGGGTCAGGACTGACCTTCTCATTTGCTCAGATGCTTTAATGCTCAGGAAGAAGTAAGCAGGAACAGAAGGAAGCAGTGCTGTAGTAATTTCTTGATGACTTTCTTACATCGTAATATTTTGGTCATTGTTAATTCTTTGGAGACTCTTCTCAGTAGATGAATTTTTAAATTTTTACTCTTAAGTTTTATGTCTGACCATAGTTAACAGTTTTTAAAAAATAAAAATTCCAGATGTCATAGTAATAATTTCCAGACACCACAGCCTGTCCTCACAGATTATGTTACTTTGGCCTCAATAAAGGATTTTTCCTTTTCTCTCTTCAACTTCTTCTCCCTTCCGGGAGCTTTTTCATGGTCACATTATTGCTGTGTCAGTTTTACTAAGTATTGTTTTTAATTTTTCTGTGTTTGCAGGTGGAGACCACGTGGTTTTGCAAGGCCAGAGTTAATGAAGGTCTTACACAATTCACTGGACGATTCCTTTAAACGCCTTATTTATCCTCTCCTCTGTAGAGAGTTCAGGTATTCCTCTTGCTTAACTTTGTATATTATTGATTAATTATGGAGCTATGCCCATTCAATGTAATTGTAACTGAATTGTAGTAAGCATTTGTTGATCCATTAACTATAAACCAAAGAACAAGTCTTGACTTTTTTCTGTAGATACATTTACTTGCATACACCAGACAGGATCACACAGAATAGCTTAATAATAGATGCATTTTTGAAGTTTTGACTACTTAATGTGTACTCCTTCTAGCTCTGCTCTGCCAGGCTTGCAACTTTCACAACCAAGCCAAACAAATGGTTTTATTGAGGGGAGTAGTTAATAGAGAAGCTAGGTGGGGGTATTTTTAGAAGTAAGAGAGGCCAAGAAAGCATAAGGAATCCCTGGTGTATATAACAGATTGATCACTACGAAGCAGAAAAGCTAATATACAAGGAGCTTCAAAAAGTTCGTGGAGATACAGAATTAAAAGACAAGAGAATTTTACCATGAACTTTTGAAGCTCCTTTTAAAATTTTTTCAAAACTCCAATTAAGAGTTGTTTGGATGAATAATCATCAGAAATGATGAGCAAATATTATTGAAAGGACTGTTGAAATCAACTAGGATTAAGGTTACCAAAAAATGAGAAACTGCAAAAGAAGAGAAGTGGAAACTTGTTCAGAGAAGGAGATGGGCCGGAAAGTCCTTCTCTGGCCTTTCAGGCTTGGCAGTCAAACCAGCCATTTCTCCTACTTCTCTCCCTGGGCGTCACTGCGCCTCTCTGCTCTGCCTCCGGACTAGGTCTGTCTTTACAAGGCCATCCCCTCTCTCTTCAGCATCACTAGAATTTCTAGTGTCTTGGACAGTACTTGTCTCTTTCTCTTTGTTCCCAGCCACGGAATCCAAGTCATTCAGTCTCTGGTTTTACTCTTTCTAGCCCAAATGTTCCCCCAAAAGATAGCCGTCCTTTTGGGATCCTATTTCATCCCAAGTCTCTGTGAAGTAGCGTCTCCTGCGTTTGAGTGGGGGGGTCGGTAAAGCGGACAAAGAGCACGGTTTAAGATTTCTTCTCTTTGTATACTTCCCCTTGATCTCGTTTGCGCCTGTTGCCTGAAGAGTCCAGCGAGTGGTGCTTTGGACATGTATGCATCTGATTTGAGGGCTCACTCTACGCGGGATGATTTTATTGAGATTTGATGTAAGCGGTTTGGTGTGGAATTGTTTAATGTATAAGCCTTTTCTGACTTTCATTAGCAATGGGCAAGCAAGAGCTCTTTCCTCTTTTCTAAAATGCCTGTGGTTAAAAAAAAAAAAAGAAGTATCTTATTTCAGACCATAACTTGGTGTGCAGACATTGTCTACAGATGTGTCTTTTGATGGAAATATTTGTCGTTACCTGAACTGCAGTTGAAGGGCAGAAGCTCCCAATTTATTTTTTTTTAAGAAAATTACTTTATTTCTCTACTTAAAAAAGAAATTTGTTGTAATTGTGGAACACTTGGAAGAATTGTTAAAGGAAAAAGAAATATAACCCCCATAATTTTATTATCTAGAGATGGCTGATATTAGCTGGCCTTTTTTCCATACATGCCTGAGTGTGTATTAAGAGAAGTTGCACATGATCCAGTTATTTTATTCAGTTAATTGTGTCCTGTATGTTTTCCTGTGTTATTAGGTATATTCTTTCAATGTATTTCTTAAGGAGTTTCTGGTTGGTGGAAATGATTACGAGCTCAGCTCCTAGCTGAATGGTTGATGGTTCAAACCCACAGGTGTCTCAGACCTGCGTCTGATAGGTCACAGTTGTGAAAACACTGTGGAACAGTTCTATTCTGCACACACGGAGTCACTGGGACTTCTAACCAACAATATTTGTTAGGGGCAGACTATCGATTCAGATTGCTTGGACTTCAATCCTTGCTCAAGTCCACTTATTAATGGCTGTGCAATCTTTGGCAAATTACTTCATTTCTTTGTACTCATTGTACTCATCACTTGGAAAATGGAATAATGCTATTCACCTTATGTGTACATTAATTCTCTCTGAGGGATTTTAAAGACATTAAGTCCGTATAAAACGTGGCTGGTAGTGGTGGTGCTGTCGGGTCAGTTCTGGTTCATAGAGACCCTGTGGACCACAGAGCGAAAGACTGCCCAGTCCTGTGCAATGTTCACAACTGTCCTGATGTTTGAGCCTGTGGTTGCAGCCACTATGTCAGTCCATCTTGTTGAGGACTCCCCTCTTTTTCACTGCCCCGCTACTTTTCCAAGCATGGTGACCTTGTCCAGGGACTGATCTCGCTTGATAGCATGTTCAAAGGTCATGAGACAAAGTCTTGCCGTGCTTGCTTCTAAGGAGCACTTTAGTTGTACTTCAAGAAAGATTTGTTTGTTCTTTCAGCAGTCCATTTTACTTTTAGTCTTCTTTGCCAGCACCATAATGTAAATGTTCAATTCTTCTTTGGCCTTCTTTATTCAGTGTCCAACTTTTTGTGCATAGCAGGTGATTGAAAATATGGTCAGGTGCACGCGAGGCTCAGAGTATCATTCTTCCTTTTCAGCCCTTGTGCCGCAGCTTACCCAATGCAGTGTCTCGTTTGAACTCTTGACCACAGCTTCCGTGAGCATCGATTGTCGATCCAAGCAAAATGAAATCCTTGACTACTTCGATCTTTTTTCCATTTATCATGATGTTACCTATTGGTCCAGTTGTGAGGATTTTGGTCTTTTTACATAGAGTTGTAATCCATCCTGAAGACTGTAGTCCTTAATCTTCATCAGCAAGTGCTTCAAGTCCTCCTCACTTTCAGTAAACACATGAGACACACTGAATGAGTATCTAGTCAAGTCAATGCTCAGCATTAGCTATTAGTTATTAGTTATCTTGCAATCTTGATTTGTTACCAGTGCTGCTTTTGAGTCAGTTCTAACTCACAGCGACAATTATGTTTCTGAGACTGTAAACATTTAAGGGGTCACACAACCTCATCTTTCTCCTATGGAGCCACTGGTGGTTTTGAACTGCTAACCTTGCGGTTATCTGCTCGGCACCTAGCCCATAATATTTTCATTGTATGCATATATCATTACTTAATTCCCCTTCAGTTCATCATTCACATTTTTCATGTCTTTGCTACGTTAAATACTGCAGTTGTGAATGTCCTAGTACCTGGGGAGATACCATCATGCATATCTCTAGCTATGTCCTTTGATTAAAACTTTCAGTAGGGTTTCTAGAGCAAAGGGTGCATCGTGTTAAGCCTCCCCCGCCCCCCTTGAGAGAGGTTGTACCGGTGTATGTTCCTAGTCATTTCAGCGGTTCACCGAGTGTTTTTCTTCTCTGCAGCAGCGGCTGTTATCATTCTTCAGAGGATGTAGATGTTTCTTGGGTAACAGTGGGTATAGTTGAAGCTTTGTGGGTTTTAGATTCTTTAAACAGTTCACTTTATTTTCTTAGGCACTCACAATATTGAGCCGAAAGATGTGAGCAGTCTTCCATTCACTGCTCCTGCGCTAGTATTATATGGGGCCATTTCAGATTTAGTTCTCAGGGTACCTTTGGGGTGCAGTATGCATACAGATAAAACCTTAGATTCTACCCTGCAGTCACTTAGCTCTGCACCCAAAGGAGTCACTTACTAATACATGTTTGCATGAAGGAGTCACAAGTATCAGTCTGGATAATTGAGCTGAAAACAGTAGAAATCCCAGTGTACCTGATTTAAACATTACAGAGAATTTATTCCCATAACAGGAATTTGATGGATGCGGGGGGGGGGGGGGGGGGGGGGGGTCCAGAGTTTGTAATTCAGAGGCTCGATGCCATCATCAAATCCCTACGTTGTTTCCATTAGGCTCTGGTTGTCTGCTCTTCTATTTATTTGGAAGGGGCTGCCTCAACTTTAGGCATCATGTCCAGATATGACCAGCAGGAGTATAGGGTGGTTTCTCTTTTTTAAGATGGTTTTTATTGAATATTGGAAAGAAGATAAAGACTATCTAGAAAATACATATAATGCATCAAAAATAACGGTAGAATGAGTCTCTCACACTCCAAACCTTGTTGATGAAATATGAATCGCCAGTCCCTCTGCTTTTGAGGACTTGTACCCACGCCGCCTCCTTCCCTGAGTTCCCTGCTTCGTTTGGACTTCCCTTGTGGTCTTCTACATGTCCTTGTCGTGTACTTGTAGGCCAGGGGACGTAGTGGTTCCGAGTTGGGCTGTGATCTGCAAGGTCAGCAGCTTGTTGAAACAACCAGCTGTCCTATGGGAGAAAATTGGGCCTTTTGACTCCCATGGAGAGTTACAATCTCGGAAACCCACACGAGCAGTTCTACCCTGCCCTCTATGGTCCTTGTGAGTCGGCATCACCTCTACGGCAGTGAGCTAATGTATTTGTTTTCTGTGACACCATTTGGTTTAGATTTACATGCTTTTGAATTGAGTAGAAATCGAATTATATTATTTTGGGGATTTTACGCCCCTCCCACCCCCAACATTAGGTTCTGTAGTTCTGTGTAGTTGTAATTAATTTAAAAAAAAGATAATTTGCATACTATACAGTTGACCAGTGTACGGGTAAAACTCAGTGATTTTCAGGGTACTGGCCGAGCTGTGCAGCCATCACCGCATTTTATTTCAGAATGCTTCCATTCCTCCGCCTTTCAGAAAACGAGGACGCTTGTGCCTGTTTGAAGACCCTCTCTTTTCCCATGTCTAATCTTCTGCCTCGCTTCCCATTTTTGGCCATTTCGTGTCCATCATATGTGACCTTTGGTTTTGACTGCTTTCACCTAGTTTATTGCTTTTCATGGCTCAGCAATACTCTATTTTATTTCTCTAATGCATTTACTTTATCCATTCATCTGTTGTGGACTAGTGAAGTGTCTTTTTACCTATTGGCTGTTTTGAATAATGCTGCTGTGCACATTTATGTGCAAGTATTTTTGAGTACCTATTTTCAATTCTTTTGGTTCTGCCAAAGAGTGGTATTGTTGAGTCCTAAGGTCATTCTCTGTTTAACTTTTTGAGGGTTTCCAAGCTGTTTATTTTACATTCTCACTAGTAACTTGGGAGGATTTCAATTTTTCCTCATTCTCACCACTACTAGTTTTCTGTTTTATGAATGCGTTAAAATGATTACTTTTTTATGTTTGTGGTGCTAGTGCGTGATGTCACTATGGCTTTGATGTGCGCTCCCTTCTGTTGAGAGTCCCTGTTCAAATAGGTTGCTTATTTTAAATTTGTGTTTCTTGCTTTTTAGGTTATAAATGCTGTTGATTTACACTACACACTGTCGTATTACCGGATATATGATTTATACATATCTGCCCTCATTCTTGGGGTTATCATTTCACTTTCTTGATAATGTCCTTTGATAGACAACAGCTTTTTTATTTTGATGAAGTCCAAGTTTTCTTTTTTATTGCTTGGCCTTTGGGTTCCTTTTTTAAAAAAATTCTTTATTGTGAATTGGATGATGGTTTACAGAGCTTATCAGTTTTACATTCAACAATTCGTACACATTGTGTCTCAACTCATCCATTGTAGTGTTCTCAGTGCATCCTACTTCCTCCCTGCCTTTTCTGTTCCTACTCCTCTTTCTTTTTTAACTATCTGAATGCTATCGTTGGGTAGCACTGCCCTTTGGCTCTTAAATCTCTGTTCATTCTAACCTGGGGTGAGCTTAGTGTCAGAGCTGAGGAGTGACTGAGGGCCAACGTCTTGCTTGTTCAGGCATGGAGAGTGACATTGAAAAGTTTCAGAATACGAAAGAAGAGCAAGAAGAAACAGAATAAGCCAGAAAAGTAAACATGTGCATATTCCGATATGTAGATTCTAACGCAACACTGTTAGGTGTTTTTTGCGTTGTAGTTTGGGTGAACATTTACAGACCATGTTAGCTTTCCATTCGACACGTGTGCACATTCTGTTTGTGGCATTGCAGCGGCACTCCTCCCCCATTCTCCCTTGGCTTTCAGGTCCCATTCATCCTCCCTTCCTGGCCCATCTTGCCTTCTGAGCTTTGTTCTTGGGCAGACCCTGCCCTTCTGGTCTCACATGGTTGATTGGATTAAGAAGCACATTTCCTTGGTGTTATTATTCACTTCATAGGCCTGTTTGTTGTTTGGCTGAAAGTTGATCCTAGGGAGTGGGTTCAGTTCCAGGCTTTAAGGGTGTCTAAGGACTACCGTGTTGGGGGTCCCACGAGACGTAGTCACATTAGTAAATATGGCTATTTTTATGTGTTTGAATTCTGTTCCCCTTTTTACTTCCCTTCCGGTGTAAATGTGCTATTGTGGTCCTGATCAGAGCAGGCTATGGGGGTAGCTGGATGCCAGCTAGTCCTTCCCATCTCTAAGTAGTGGAGGCTGTGGTTTGCAGGGGTGGTTTACTCATCCTTCACTCGTATGTGTTCCAGACAAGGGAGACCAATAGTTGCATCACAGATGACTGTTCTCAAGCTTTTAAGACCCCAGTTGTTAATCACTGACATATATTGTCGACTGTGTTAAGCCTGTTGTCTGTAGTTTTAAGTCCACTGCCCAGTGAGCCATTCCTTCAAAGTATTTAGTTATAGCTGAGAAGTATTTATAATTTTGCCCTTACACCTGAATTATAGAGATGACTTTATTTGTAGCACATATGGCTATTTTTATGTGTATAGGTAGAACTAGCCTCTGCCAGACTCCATACACTCTGGGTGCATTTGAAATGTTTTCCAGTTGCTTTCGCACTCACTGTCTGTCTGTAATAGTAAGGGTAAATGGAATAGCATTGCCTGATCGTTCAAGACTTGTTACTCACATTTCATGGTTGATAAATTTTTGTTGGATACCCAAAATTATATACTGATCTGTACACATGAAGTCTCTCTGCATATTTATTGCACACACATATTTATACATACAAATCTTACATCTAACAATATATAGAAAGAGTATGAGTATGACAAACTCATAAGTATAACTCTAACATTGTTTGATTATTGTGATTAAGTAAAAAATAACCTCAGTATAATGCTTTTCTTTTGAGGTGTTTTATAATAATAGATGTTCCTGGGGGGATAACTGCACAAAATGTGTCACCTTTTATAGAAAAAAAAATCGGAGAGAAAGGCAAACTTAGCTAATGTACAGCTCTTTCTTTCTTTTTGTGTGTAAAGAGCCAAGCTAACATCAGACGCAGAGAAGGAATCAGTCATGATGTTTGGACGGAATCTTCGCCAGCTCCTCTTAACAAGTCCAGTCCCGGGGCGCACCTTGATGGGGGTGGACCCTGGTTACAAACACGGTTGCAAATTGGCTATAATTTCTCCAACCAGTAAGTAATCTTTAAAATCTTCCTACAAGAAAGTTGTTTGGTTGATCGCTAAGTCTTACTTAAATTTTTCATAAGGATTTAGAAATAATGCTAATTTTCAAGGATTAGAAAAGGATTTTCTTCTATACAGGACTATGGGAACATGATTCTCAAACTTCATATTTCTTTTATTTGTTCATCAAAGCCCTCAACATATTGCTGTCATTTATTCCAAATTGAAATATTGAGGATTAAATGAACCCAGACTTTAGAACCCTTTAACTCCATTTGTCCCCCATCAACTTCTAGTTTTTGTTGTATTTGAATTTCATATATATTTTAAACATCATCAGACGGTTTCATTGTTTTTTGCAGGCAATATTTTTTCCTTTTTGCCTAAATATTTATTTTCCCTTTTATTAATCTTCATTTCTACTTACCTTTCTTTTCTCTGTTTCTCTGTGCTTCCTCCTGCACAAATGCTGTTACCATGTAGTCCTGTGGATTTTAGACTCAATAGACAAACACATACATTCCTGTAAAAATTTTACTTATTAAAACAAACTCAAGAAAAGACATGCCTGTGTGTGTGCATGAATGCTTGTGTTGGTGCATTGTTCCAACTTGCTCATTTTGGGAGATTTTGTGGGTGTGCTTTGTTATTTCTGTTACAGATGTAGTTCATGTAGTTTTCCTTTCTTGTAGTATCCCTGTTATTTTGATTTTAAAGTTACATCATCATATATGAGTTAGGATTATTCCGGGTGGGAGAGGCCCCCTTTCTTTTTTTTTTTTTTTTAAGTTTCTGAGTCAACATCCATCCTTTTATTATTTTTTTATTTTTTTAAACATTTTATTAGGGGCTCATACAACTGTTATCCCAATCCATACACACATCAATTGTGTAAAGCGTATTTGTACATCATTTCTCAAAACATTTTCTCTCCATTTAAACCCCCTACATTAGGTCCTCATTTTCCCCCTCCCTCCCCGCTCCCCCCTCCCACATGAGCCCTTGATAGTTTATAAATGGGTATTTTGTCATATCTTGCCCTGTCCGACTTCTCCCTTCATCCACTTTTTGGTTGTCTGTCCCCCAGGGAGGAGGTCACACACAGTTCCATGTAATCGGTTCCCTCTTTCCTACCCATTCTCCCTTTACCCTCCCTGTTTTGCCACTCACACCACTGGTCCTATAGGGCTCATCCATCCTGGATTCCCTGTATTTTCAGTTCCTATCTGTACCAGTGTACCTCCTCCCAGTCTTGCAAGATCGAATTCGAGTCATGGTAGTGGGAGCGGGGAGGAAACCTTTAGGAACTAGAGGAAGGTTATATTTCTCATCATTGTTACATCGCACCCTGACTGGCTCATCTCCTCCCCGAGACCCCTCTGCAAGGGGATCTCCAGTGAGGCCCCCTTTCTGAAAGAGTTATTTCCTTGACCATATGATTTAATAAAGGGCCCTGCTGGTGTAGTGGTTGTGAGAATAGCAAGGTCAGCAGTTTGAAACCACTAACTGCTCAAGGATTTGAAATACTTGCTGATGAAGATCAAGGATTGTAAACCTTCAGTATGGATTGCAACTCAGTATGAAAAAAACCCAAATGACAAATGGAACAAAGGTTGAAGTTGTCAAGAATTTCATCTTGCGTGGATCCCCAATCAGTGCTATGAAAGTAGCAGTCAGGACATCAAAGGACACATTGCATTGGGTAAATCTGCTGCACAAGGCGTCTTTGGTGTCGAAAAGTGAGAAGGTTACTTTGAGGACTAAGGTACACCTGACCCAAACTGTGGTGTTTTCAGTGGCCACATACGAAATGTGAAAGCTGGACTTTGAATAAGGAAGAGCAAAGAATTTGTCTTTGAATTACAGTACTGGTGAAGGACACTGAAAGTACCAATGCCTTCCCAAAGAACCACTAGATCTGCCTTGAAGACGTACAGCAGAGTGCTTTTTCGTCTTACGTACAATGCACACGTTATTGGGAGAGATGAGTTCTTGGGAAAGGACATACTGTTGTTACCTACAGAGACAGTGAGAAAGAGAGATCCTCAGGGAGATGGATCGACACAGTGGCTGCAGCAATGGGCCCCCAACACAGACTGGGCAGTCTGTCCTTTGTTGTTCCCAGGGTTGTAATAGATCAAAATGGACTCACTGGCACGTACCAACAGCCACCTCATTGTTTCTTGACATGTCCATCCAGGTCTCATCACTTCTGCAGGTGAGATTGTCATCTCCATAGTCCATCCCAAAGAATTCTGCACCCTTCAATTTACACCACGCCAAAACGTCAGTTTTAGGCTCAATATTATGTACTTTTCCAAGTCTGTTTCAATTTGGGGACAATAAGTGTGAAGAAGCAAGATCAGGGTTGCAGGGTGTATGGAATAAGGTTTCCAAACAATTTTGTGTGGTAGCTCTTTCTACCCTTAAAAGTGCGTTGTCATGATGGAGAAAACTTCTTAGCACAACTTTCCTGGCCTTTTATCATGTAGTTTTCCATGTTCTTAAAACTTGTTCCTTATAAGCCCCAGGGATTTTACTGTGTCCTTCAAGAAAATCTATCATGATGACTCTTCGGAATCCCCTCTGCGCTGACCTCTCTGCCTTGAATCCCCTCAGACTGCGGTTTGATGGACCCGTCTTCTTTTTGAAGGCACCTTAACCAGACTAAGATGTATGCTATTGAACCCACTGATGGCAGAAACGTGCTTAAACCCACTGGGTTTGGAATCAGTCTGTGCATTTAGGAACTAGAACCCGCAGTAGCAATATTTTTTGACTCTCATATTAATGACCCAGACTTTATTTTTCCAAGACAGTTAAACAGTCCCTTTTTCTGTTACAGCTTGTCTAATCAAACCTTTGAGGTCTCCTGTTTTGCCATGTCTTATGAAATAGTTACTCTTTTCATTTTTCTAAGGTCAGATACTTCATACTGATGTCGTCTACTTGCATTCTGGACAAGGCTTCCGAGAGGCAGAGAAAATAAAGCAGCTTTTACTGAATTTCAAGTATGAAAATGACTAACCTTTTGTGTAGCTTTTTGGCTCAGCCAATTAGGGGACCTTTAAAGTCCCTGATTTTCGGGGGAGGGGTGAACAGAAGTGCCTGCCCGAAAGATAAGGCGCCTTGTACATAAGTCTGGGTAAAGTTGTTGGAGCACTCTCAGTTTGGAATGCTGCTCCCTCTGCCGCAGTCACAAACAGAAGTGGTAATGTGAGCAAGCATTTAACTCTTCTGCTAGCTCTTCCTCCCCGCTCCCTACAGTGGGTCTGAGAAATGCATGTGGTATAAATTAGAAGCTTCAGAAATTATTGTTATATTATTGATAACATGTCACGTCATGATCCCTTTTTCATGACTTCGAAGGCACCAGAGTTTACTCCGGATCCAATTCTGGTCCCTTCTAGATGGGCAGAAAGCTAACTGCTGAGTGCATTAGTGACACTAAAGTGTTTCTCTGCTGTCTCCATCAAGTGCAAAGGTTTTCTCTGGGATTCCTTTATGAGATAATGGAGAGGCTGCTTTGATATATGAGAATAAGCACATCTCCTAATAGTATTTGTGTATTATGTACATTTTCTCTTGGTTCATTTCCAAACGTGAGCTCATCTTGTTTCTTTGTCCCTTGAAGTTGCAGCACAGTGGTGATTGGAAATGGAACTGCCTGCCGAGAGACAGAAGCTTACTTTGCTGACCTGATAACGAAGAATTACTTTGCACCCCTGGATGTTGTTTACTGGTAAGGATGCTGGGAATGCCTGCTTTCGTGGGAACTTTTGGATTCTTCCTTCTCAGCTGAGGATCTTGCTTGCTTCCAAGTCACTCCTTGATGTTCAAGCATTTTGCATGATAATGCAAAGTATTTGACTAGAGAAATTTAAGGCAGCAATATCCTGGCACCTCTCCGAGAAGCAGCAGGTTACTGCTTACGTAGCATCATGGGATTTTCCCGACTGTCCATGGGTGAGGGCCTTAGCTAAGTCTTGACTAATAGGTAGGATGATGTACAAGGGTAGTAGCTATGTATTCTCAATGATTTGATACCTGTGAATCCCTGGCCTTCAAACCTGGGAACCAAGGTGACTGTTAAGAACTGAAAGTCGAATGGAATCAAATGCTGCCTTATCTTGCTCGTTTCCACAATTGGTTAATGTTCAGACCATTGTGCTCTTGAGGGGTTTTATTTGTTAGTAATGGGAAAGAATCAGCAGACCTCTCTTAGTTTGTTGTAGTCTGGAAGCTCCACTGAATTTGTTCAGCATTATAGCAGCGCACAAACCTCTATGAACAGACAGTTGGTGGCTGCATATGAGGTGTGTTGGCTTACAATCTAATCTGGCCCTCTCACCTGGAAGGTGAGAATTGTACAGCTGAACCACCACTGGTATAGTTATAATGCAGTCTATCCAAAGGAAAATGCTAGAGAGATTGTTGAGAAAGCTAATAATGTAAGAATATTTAACTGATGAGTAGTTTAGTGGTAGGGAAAAAACAAAACAAAAAATGAGTGCAAGAAGAAGAATCCAAGGGACACTTTAGGTAGGCCAGATAGGAGGGGACAAGCAGTTAGTGTCAGATTTTGTGGGCTAACCGTTGCAACAAGATACGTCAGGAAAGCAAACAAAGAGGAATGAGGTCAAAGTCAGAGACCAACTATCGATACCAAGGGACCGTGGTTCCTGAAAGACCCAGATTGAAAAGTCTGCCCCAGTTTCCTCCCTTCCCCTCTGACTCTTATTCCCATTTGCCTGAGGACTGTTGGGTTTGTGGGTCTGCTCTGGAAATTGCAGGCATGCCCCCAGTCCTTTTGGGGACAGAACACAAGACCAGACGCACTTGACTCAGTTTATGTTGAGCTGCTTCTCTGATTTCATTTGTTCACGTTAATTTGATTTAGCTCTCTTGGTTACATTTGTAGTGATTATAGAGTTTCCATATTATTTAGTAGTTGAGGCATCTTGTCTTTCATGTGAATGTGCTTATTAGCGAGTATCCATTAATTGAACATGTGTCAGTATTGTAGAAGAAAGCGGATGAGCTTTAGAGTTAGACAAATCTCAGGCCGTCTTTGTTTTATTAGCCACTTACTAGCTAGCTAGCCAGGTTGGGAAGACATTCTTAGCGTCCCTGAGTTCGCTGTACTCATCTTTAATTGGAGGAAAGTAATTTTTATAAAGATTTATAGAAAAAGATCTTGTGTAAACAGTAAACACCAAAATTCCATAAATAACTTTAGTGTTGTCTTCATGAATATGAGGAGGCTTCTGAAAGTTCATGGAAAAGTGCAATTAAAATATAATGGAATTTTTCCACAAATGTTTTGAAGCCCCCATCTGTTTATGTTTGTTTATACATGCATATCTATCATATACATTTATTTACACTTATGTAATGTGTAAGTAGTGCAATATTTTGAAAATGTATACCTGATTATTACTTTAATAATAATATGGTTGTCACATGATAAGTTTGTGTAGTACAATTACAGTGTTCTTGGTAAATTTAATAAACATACTGAATGTTCATTTTTCACCTCTGAATTATAGAGATGACAACAGTATTCTCCTCATGAGTATAAAAAAATATTTATGTAAGTCAGGTGGTACTATGAGGTGCTCAGTATTATTAATGGATGTGACTAAGATGATATTTTAATAATTCATTATATGTGTTGTAGTATAAGAAAGTATCTAGACCATAGAGATAAAGCTTGTTCAGGCTCTGCCATCTACCACTGGGACTGGCCACAGGGTTTAAAAACCTGTCTTAGATTTAGCTCCTTTACCTGTGGGACTGTGTATGCTTTTAGCATCACTATGAAGATTTGAAATTGAGTTTGTCAAGTATATTCATATTTCAAGGTCCCTTACAGGGACTGCTTTAGTTGTGAACTAATTGTTTAGATGCTAATTGAGTGCTTGGAGGAGAAAATAGAGTTTATCTCAACTGGACTGACTGTTGGGAACAAATACTTTAAAATTAAATTTCTACTGTCTAAGAAAATATTGTTACTTAAAGATTTCAAGGCTTCTATAAGGCATTATAGGATTTTAATTCAACTTTCAGGTGAAAAAGGGGTATATATTGTAACCAGTCTCTCTCAGCACTGTCCTTCAGCACCCAAGGGTAACTGTATCTGGTGTCACCCTTCTATGGATAATTTTTATGCATACATGAATATTTATTTTTTCTGTAACTCTGCAGTTCCCCCCTCTTTTGATGAGTTAATATGGTAAACTGTAGAAACATATTTCCAATAGTTAAACCATCTTTGCAGTTTTTGATCTTAATCCCTTTTTATCATAATGTATTATTTTTTAATGTGTTGCCAAAATTGGTTTCCTAATATTTTGTTAAATGTTTTGAAGTCCTTAGATAATACAAATGTCTAATCAGAATTCAAAGGAAGTGGTTTAGGAAAATCATCTCTTCGATTTCATTTTACCACTTCAAAATTCTACTGGGAGAAAAATGAAAAATTGCTATTGGGAGTAAGCCAGGTTGTCTTATCTATCATTTTGATGCAAACCTTATTCTAATAGAAATCTTCATGTTTCTCCTATTAGTACATTCTAAGTAGATAATCTGATAATGCCTTTTTATAACCTTACAAGCCTCAGATCCAGAAAAACCTTTCCTTGGCATATCCACTAGCATGTTTTCTTTGCTCTTCCTTCCAACACACTTTTTTGCTTTTTCCAGCCCTTCCAATTGGTCAACACCTGTCATAACTTAGCTCTGAACTCAAACACCCCTGCATGCTGGTCTGCCCATCCAACCTTCTTCTGACTCATTTCCCTCCATAATTTAAAATACTCCTCAAACTCTGATACTTACACTTACTTTAGGAGCTGTAGGAGTCGTGGTGGCATAATGGGTATGCTTTGGGTTGCTAACCACAAGGTATGCAGTTCTAAACCACCGTCCCTCCTTGGGAGAAAGATGCAGCTTCCTATTCCCATAAAGATTTACCGTCTTGGACATCCCAAGGGGGCATTTCTACCCTGTACTACAGAGTTGTTGTGAGTTGGAATCAACTCAGTGGCATTGAGTTTGGAGTTTCGGTTTATGGGAACAGAAATTGAAAACTTCAAATCCTAATTGCCTAAGGAGCAGGAGGTGTGGGGGCTTTAAGATTAAATGGCAGAATGTAACTGTACTAAGATTTAGTTAGTCACATGTCGGTTAACACTGGAGATGTTCGTAAAAAGAACTCTACAGTGTTAGATGGTGTTGCTTGTTTAAAGTATTTGCTAAAATGATTTGTTATTTTCAGTCTTCTAACACATACCAGGGACTAGGTTTTCGAATGTCTGAGTATTTGGTTTCGTCCACGTTATTCACCCATCATTATTTTCTATTTTTTTTCTCTACTTAAAAACTATAGACTATTTTTGGAGCAGTTTTAGCTTGATAGAAAAACTGCACAGACTTCTCGTGGACCCGCTATCCCTTCTGCACACACTTGTTCCTTTTACAGACTTGCATTTCTTGATTTATTCTTCTGTAAATGGAAATCTAGTTTTCTCAGCACTGTTTGTTGAGCCTATCTCTTTCTATTTACTCCTACCTATTGTCAAAAACCAGTGGTCTGTTTTGGCTGTTGTAGCTGTGCAGTAGGATTTGAGATCGAAAAATGAGAAGCTTCCTACTTTCTTTATTTTCTTTAATAGTGCTTTGCTTATCCTAGGCTTCTTTCCTTTCCACTCCATTCCATCTAAAGTTATTGATTAGTTTTTCTGTCTTTTTGAAAAGTGATACTGAGATCTGGATTGGAATTGCATTATATTTGTAGATCACTTGATGGCTATTTATTGGGTTGCTGTGTTAGTCTGGGTAGAGTAGAGAAACAACATTCATAAACACTCATCTTTTATGAGAGAGAGTTTTATATACAGTATAGGGTAATTGTACATTAAGCATCCCAACCCAGTCCAGTTCAAGCCCGACATTAGCCCATATGTCCAACATCAATCTACAAAGTCCTTCTCAGACTCACAAAACACATGCAATGATGCCTAATGCAGAAGGAAAGCCGAATCAGTGAGCGTGTAAGCATCTCAGTGCTGGCAGGTGTCTCCATGTGACTTCTCCGGCACCCAGGGCTGCATCGGGGTAGGTCCATGTGGCTTCTCCTCAGGGATGTCTTGCAGGAAGTGAGCCTTGCCAGCTGAGTCAGAGAACTAGCTAAGGCAGGTGCAACTGGTCCAACCATCAGAGTAAGAGACCAGACAGGTGAGGCTTGCTGAGCCATATATCTCTCTGCCCTTCAATTAATCCCATGTGTGTTTATTGGCCAGGTTGGCACCATAAATCTTAATCATTACGGTTGCTAACCTCAAGGTCAGCAGTTTGAAACCAGCAGCCACTCTGTGGGAGAAAGATGGGGCTTTCTACTCGCGTGAAAAGTTAATAGTTTTGGAAGCTTAGAGGGGTAATTCAACTCTGCCCTATAGGTCAATATGAGTTGGAATTGACTCAATAGTGAATTTGTTTGGGGGCATTTTTGGCTAGTATTGCCATCTTCACAATGTTAAGTCTTCTTATCCATGGGCTTGTTACAGTTTTCCATTTATGTAAGTCTTTTTTTGGTTTCTTTTGGTAGTGTTCTGTAGTTTTCTTTGTACAAGTCTTTTGTTTTTCTGGGTAGGTTTATTCCTATGTATTTCATCGTTTGGTTGGCTATTATAAATGGTATTGTGATCTTGATTTCCTTCTTAATGACCATTTAATTTTTTT